TAGTTTTTTAAGTAATCACACAGCTGTTTTGCGACTGCTTTCTCAAGAATTTTTGAGAGGAACGGAAGATTAGAAATAGGTCTATAGTTGGCTAAAACCTCTGGATCGAGGTTGTGCTTTTTAAGAAGCGGTTTTATCACTGCTACTTTGAATGATTGTGGAACATAGCCTGATAATAAAGACATATTCATAATATTTAATAAAGAAGTGCTAATTAATGGAAAAACTTCTTTTAACAGCTTAGTTGGAATCGGGTCTAAGATACACGTTGATGGTTTAGAAGAGAGAATCATTGAATTTAATTGTTCAAGGTTTATGGCTGAAAAGCATTCTAGTTTACTATCTAGTATAATATTAGAACTTACGTTTCCGGGAGCTGTTGATAACACTATACTGGTCAAAGGCAAGAGGTCATTAATTTTGTTTCTAAGAGTAACAATTTTATCGTTACATAAAATCATTACTACTGAGTGCTATGGGAATAGAAGGCTCAGTCGAGCTGTGGCTCTCTGTCAGCCTGGCTACAGTGCTGAAAAGAAATCTTGCATTATTCTTATTCTCATCTATTAATGAAGAGAAGTAGGCTGCTCTCGCTTTACGCAGTGCTTTCTTATATTCATTGAGAGTAATATGCCAAATTAAACGAGATTCTTCAAGTTTAGTGGAACGCCATATCCTTTCACGTTGTCTCGACTTGTGCTTTATTTTGCGGGTTTCGGCATTATGCCATGGAGCTAATCTATGTTGTTTTATTTTCTTCTTTTTCAAAGGAGCATCAGAGTCTAATTTTATTCGCAATGCATCTGTAGCACTATCAACAATATGATCAATTTGGGGTGGTGTACATATTGTATAGAGTTGACAGAGCGAGACGCTTTCTTATAGAGAGAGGTGAGGCCTTATCATCAAACGCAGCTGGAGCTGGAGATCAAAAGGGGGCAAAACAAAACGCTGGAATTGCTGTTATTATTTCTAATTCTTCATTCCTTCCCTCTTAGGACTTCAGAGACGGCAGAGTAGTAATCCTCCGACAGTTGAGAGATGTGAGGCTATACTGATTACATTTCTAATTCCATATGCGGTGGCTCGAGGAACGGTTTAACGGTAAGGTCCACAGCGAAACCGAATGAGGTCACTTTACTGCGGAATTTAAATAAATACTACTCAAGACTGCACGTTCTGATCAGGCTCGTGGAGCTAATCAGCGTTTCGATATTGAACTCAACGTACTGTATATATAGAAGCAATTTACTCCCGCCTTTTCCAATATATTTAGTGAAAATAATGCTCACACACCCCGAGCTAAACGTGAGCAGAATGCATGTGTGACATTTACAATCAATCAATCAGTCGCACCAGTGCAGGATTGTGAGCCTGGCAGAGGTTATTCTCATGTGGTTGCTGGTATCTATACATAAAGAAGAGGAATTAGAAGAATTGGGAGGGATGAAACCCTCTTTTAATGGTCACACAGCACACACAGTGAAATGTGGCCTCTGCATTTAACCCATCCTAGTACCAGGAGTCTAGTACTAGGAGCAGTGGGCAGCTAGTGTACAGCGCCCGAGGAAACAGCATGGTTGCTATTTAAATATTTCTAATGCAGAGGGTTAATTAAAATGAATAGTTTAAAACAGTAGCTTTCCTATTCCATAATTGACTTGGAGAAGATTTCACTTGTTTATACAAATGTGTGTACCTTCTTTCTCTCAATTAAAAATGGTTGACAAAAACACAGCACAGGATTATTAATTAAAAGCAGGATTATGTATAAACCCTGCTGTGTATATATTATGCACATAACAGTGCATGCTTGGTTTGTTGAGGTCTACTAAAATAAATGTATTTTGTGCAATTTTCCAAACTCACATTGGTTTCTCAAACAGCATCTCTGTATAGTATGTGTATTCACTCTCTGACCTAAACGGCTTGTTGGAGCTCCTGCCCCCCCCTCCCTGTTAGCCCAGTGGCCGTCTGCGAGACAGCGAGACACTGCGAAACCCAGCCCGAACACACACACACCCGCAGCCTGGCTGGGAGTTTGTGTGTGTGCTCAGGCTGAGTTCCGCGGTGTCTCGCTGTCTCGCAGACCCCACACCAGTGAGCCAGCTCACAGTGTCCCGTTCCTAAGCAGCAGCGAGCCTCGCAACGTCCCGCCGAGTGTGGGTGTGTGAGGAAGTCCGCGGATTGGTCCAAACGTAACGGCTCCGCAGATTGGTCCATTTGGCGTTACGTTACTATACCCGAAATACGTCACTATACCCAAGAAGTAAACAATGGAAAAAGAGAAATCTCAACGAGGCGTTCTTGGGCAGCATAGACAGGTCTTCTCTGTGTTTTACTCGCTACAGGGTGTACTTTGAGGGTTTGTGACTCTGCAGACCGTTAACATGCATAAAAAGCTACGTAACACACAAGGGGAAGTTTAATGTGATCCACCAAAACACACAAGAGAATTCCTTGTAGGTGAACCTGCTAGGTAATTAACTGGATTCAGGTTCGGCTCATAGATTACCATATTATCAATACTGAATAAATATGAATACATTGGGAGTGATCACTAGTTTAATCAATGCTGTTTGGTCTGCTATAAGCTCCCACGGTCCACCTAATCCTATTCCCTCTTCACCCAATAACTCTATCAAAGTGTTGATCATACATAAATCAAAACACAGCAATGAAGGAATCTGAAAATAGAGTCACAGTCTTCGGTAGCAAAGGCAATTACACAAATCAACATATACATGATTAAAAAGTATTTACAACAATGACACAAGTAAGGACCAGCATATTACAGCATTGGGACCAAGAGTTGAAAGCAGCTTTATGTAGTGTGTTAAAGGAGTGATTTAAAATGAGGCACATATTATTATCTTCTCAGGCAGAGCCTTTAAAAGCCGGGGGAATCCAACGGAAAATTCCACCTTTAGTTTAAGCTGTGACTTTGGACCGGATAAAAGGGTATAGCCAGAGGATCTCAGGTGTTTAGACGTAAAGCTTTAGCAGCTTGGAGATATAAGAAGATGCATTCCAGACAGGGCCTTTAAAGTACCTTAATGTTTGTTTTTACACAACAATAACTTCACCTGAGGCATGTACCATGAAGCCGGATTTGGGGTTCAAGCAGGGTAATCTTTTAAAAATGGGTTTGAGGTGGAGGCAAAAGTAAAAACAGATGCTATTATAAAATAATGTAGTTTATCAACAGATGGTGGGTGATAAACTGGAGTAGCAGCAAAGGAGGTGTGGATGAAAATCTTAATTGTGATGAATTCAAAGTACCTGCAAACTTCCTGAATCCAACCTTGAACTCCTCCAGCACTTCCTGGTGCTCTGCTCTTAAGAAAGAAAATACTAAAAATTAGATTTCAGAGTTTGTAATGGGGGTGTTCATTTGTTACAGCAGCTCAAATAAGCCAATGAAAATATTTTTGATTGAGTGATAAATAAAAAAACATAGCTTTATACAGTTAGTTTTTTTTGTTTCAAAGTCAACTTTATTGTCAATCTTTCAGTTTGTGTGTACAGACAGAGAGATCATAATACGTTTCCCACAATCCCAAATACAAAAATATATAAAGATATGTATATACCATTACCTATAAATACACATGCATGTATACATAAGCACACATCCAGACATACATAAAAGCACAACAATATACAAAATAACAGTCTGTATTGATTTATGTTGTATATTACAGATATACAGATAATGTCCTTGATGGATAATTGCACCTTTAATTGTAATACACACATTGTACACTTACATATTGGACAGGGTGATCTGGGTGACAGAGGGCAGGGTGCTCAGGGTGCTCAGGGTGTCCTGGGTGAGGTGGGGCACGGTACCCAGGTGTGTGTGCAGCAGACACCCCGGGACCTCCAGAGAGAGCTGCCCTGTCTTACCGAGCCCCTTCAGGACCCCCAGCCGACCTTTGCCCAGCGCCACACGGGACAGCTCCAGCTTCATCCTGCAGCCAGCCATACACTGGGAGTAGCAGCACAACGAGTTTAAAAACAGCGGCTCCAAAACACACGTGAATTAGCCACGTAGCTAACTAGCTTAACTAATCACGTGATACTTTATTTACCCTTACGTCCATTTAAAATGATAAACGCTCTTTAAGAGACGATAAGAAACCCTACTTATCACTGTTGTGCTGGTTTGAATTGTAGAAGCGTTTAATATAAGAGATACTTTCATTCGTCTACCTACAAAACTCACAGGCACTACAAGTCGCCTGAATGTGACGTCATCATCAGTCGCGGCATAATTTAGTAAACTATACATCCATGAGTAAACTACGATATAAGAGTGCCTTCCTTTTTGGATAAAAACCCCTTTACGAACATTTAAATATGTAGTCTTATTATTATTATTATTATTATTATGTTTTACTCTATTCTTACGTTTTATTACATTCTAAACGTAAATGTGGCTCATTCAGAGAGGGGAATAACGTTGCTATGGTTACCAAGAGTTACAAACAAAGCGTGACTGGGCGATGTAGTCCTAAAGTGCTTTGTTGACACGACATTTGCCTTAGAACAATTGTTAAGGGACTACATTACCCAGATTAACTTGTGATTCATATCGATAGCGGTTGTGTACAGGTCTTGCTTTTGCGAGGGCTCTTTGAGAAGACTTCTGAACACTTTTTGATGATATAAAAACAGTCAAATAATTGTTTTTTGGAGCTGTTTTTAAACTATGGAATGGTGGTTAAGATAACATTATAGTAGCAGAGGTAAATATATATTACTAAACAGACTATGACATCCCCAGGTCCCAACCCTCACCTGTTCAGGTGGAGGAGGCTTGGAGAGAGTAAAACTGCAGACAAGGTAGGTTTGGACTCTGGATTTATGTTAATTTGTAGGTGTAGGGTTTTTAATTCTGATTCAACAAGGGAACTGATAATCCATCCCAACTCACATCAACACTTTAAATTACTTGAAATGATTTTCAATCTATTTTCAATTTGAAGACTTTCCTCAGGATGATTAAATCCCCTACAGAGATTACAACATAATTGTAAAAATTGATGAAAAATCAATGAATAAAGCAGAAGCCCCCAAGTCTTCTGCTTTATTCATGAATATGAGCCTTGTATTAAACATGGCTCATGTCAGGGGACGGTTCAGAAATGTCGTATAAATGGCCTTTCTCTGCAGCATGAGACAGAGTAGCTGAATTGCTGCTAAAGTAAAGCACAGAGTTTTGGAAGTCTGGGAAATGATTCCCCAATAATCTGAAGATTTAAGGCAGTGGCTAAGCTTTCTGAAAAATAATCCAAAGGCGCAGACATCAGGCATTGGCTGAGCCCTCAATTTGTACGCTGCTCCCACAGCTCAAGGTGTCCATATATTTATAGGTTATACTTTATTTATCCCGGTCAAAGTCTCTTGAGTCTAAGTTCGTATTCAAGAGCAACCTGGCAAAGAGGGAAGCATACACAATGTTATATCCATAAACACAAACAGACACACACACCCTACAAATCAGTGAGTTAGACTTTGCAAAATAGGTATATACATTTGTAAATAATTTAATGGATGATTTAGAAGCAATAGTCTTTATGACCCTTTTCTGACTATTTTAGATCCTAATAAGGGGGTCTGTTTGCTTGGGTTTATTTTGTTGACCCTTTACTCTATCTTGAACTATTGGTTTACACTTCCAATATTTGTTTGTTCCTATAACAGATGCATGCGAAGATAGATGATATCGATCAATGGAGGAAGGTGAGAGGAGTTCACCTATGTGTGGTTTTGAAAAAAGCATGTCACCTTTGACTGATGTGCATTGACCAAATTATTGAATAACATCGGATCATGATAATAATCAATATATTCGTCTTCAGCGCGTGGAGGCTGCTTCAGAGTTTGCTGTTTCGGAAGTCTTCAGCCACAAGAAACCTCATTCAGGGAAGAAGAGCCGAGTTGAATCTCTACAAAGCTCTGAGCAGTTAAGAGATCACGATGACGCTTATAGTGAAGGTAGGTCAGCCTTTAACACATAATTATAGGTGTCTCAAGGGAGGTGTTACAAATATATTGGAGTTGAGCCTCTGCAACAGACTGAACCATAATGTATTGCAGCTCAGGCTCTGCTCGCCGATTGGCTGAACAGCAAGCTGCGTGTGGAGCTGGAGGTGGAGGAGGACGATGACCTGAGGTGCTCCGGTGAGAGGAGAAGCCCTGATAGTTCTCCGCCTGCCGCCCTGAACCACAGCAACTTTGATGGTAAAGACAAAAACAATGCAACCTGTTTAGTTCAGGGAGGCGTGTGGTGCAGTGGATTGTGTGTTGGTGTTCGGATCAGGTTCAAACCCCACTGCAGTCAGCATGTTGTTGTGTCCCTGGGGAAGACACTTCACCCCAAATTGCTCCTGTGGGGATTGACCACAGTATTTAGTATGTAAGTCTAACAAGGGACATGTAATGTAAAGTAATGTTTAACCTCTTCGTTTGAATAAATCAATAAAAGTTCCAATTACCCGGCCTTAATGGGAACGGTAAGGTTTTGATTTGACGTAACAAGCCACATAATAGGAATTAAGAATTGAATCGGTTAAATACTTCAAAAGGCTTGTGCAGAACAACTTTAAAAGATTTAACAGCTATCGTGTAACCCTGACAACACTACACGGTGGATTCAAACTCATCTTCTTGTAAACCAGGTCACAATGAAGGAGATGCATTTTTTAAAGAGGACAAATGATGCTCATGTTCAAGGGATGTCAGCCTTTTGCAGACCATTGACATGCACATAAACCTATACAACACACTACAGGAAAAGGAAACCCCCTGAAAGCCTCTTTACATTTCCATTTTAGGCGTTAACTCTTAAGGTTATCTAAACATGTGTATAGGTACAGTTTGGGAAACATATGACCTCAAATGTGTGACTTTTTTGGCCAAAAGTTAGTTAAACAAACAAATGAGCTCAACTAATATTGAGTGACTATTTTATAAAAGCGTAACATTTCAGACCATTTCATGTTTTTGTGTTTCATATTCCTACAACATGACTTGTGAATGCATTGTTTTTTTAACAAGTGACTTCCACATCTTAAATGTCGACGTTTGATTTTATCGGAGCAGATCACGGACAGCAGATCAATCCAAAAGTGTATTGTATGCTTTGCAACACGGTCACAATATAATACTTGTTTTTGTACAACGGCAAAGATCTGTATAACTGCCTGGCGGAGGAGGACGAGCACAGCGCTGTGAACAGCTTCCTCCAGGACCTGATGGAGCAGGAGCTGTTGGACTCTGAGGTGATGGAGGAACTGGTGCTGGATGTTGGACAAACAAGGAAGAAATGTAGAAACCCAATCGTCTCCATGGAAGCTCGACAACTGCAGGTACGTGACCCGAGCACATCTCGACTTCCTCGAGATAAGAGATGTGAGTGCTGAGGGGTCGGGAAACTATCAGCCGTGAGGAGAATCCACCGGAGCCCAAGCTGTGTTTCTCACTCATACTCATTGCCACTGATTGCCGTTGAAGGTGCGAGAGAACAGAGCGAGGCGGGAGGCCGAGAGGCTGAGGCAACAGAGAGAGGGGCAGGCTCTGCAGGAGTCCAGAGGGGAGGCGAGGAGGAGGGAGCGAGGCGAGGAGGCGAGGAGGAGGCAGCAGGAGGAGAAGCTGCAGCAGGAGATGGTGAGGCTGCGGCGGCAGAGGGAGGAGCGGAGAGGCCTGGAACAGCTGGTTCGACAGAGGTACGGTATCCACGGCAACAACTGCTGATGTGCTTATCGCCCTGTATCTGAGATTAACTCCCGTGTGATTGCATCGATCGTGATCCGGCCTCTTCCCCCTTCCTATGATGGATTGATGGTAACCTAATGAGAAGAGACACAGATCCCAGACCCAAACAAGTGTTGTGGAAGAGTCCCTGGACGTAGCTCTTGTAATCTCTTTCAAAGTGTGAACCAGAAAAAGGCTTTTGTAAATAAACCCTCAGGCAACTTTCATCATAACGATCAGGAAAGCCTCAGAGAACAGGGAAGTGTTTGGCAATGATTTACAAAGTGACTGCAAATGAGAAAAGTAATAACCATGCAAATCAAACTGATGCATTTATGATACTCCTCAATTAAACCTTTATTTATAAAATATCATTTTAATTGCCTGGCCATGAAATAAATGATAATAAAATTAAAATACAACTTTGAAAGGGCATGAAATTGAATTTTTACTACTTTCTTTACTACGTGGGTCTACACAAAAATCTATACTGGTCTGACGGGCACTTTTGTAACTTTTTGGGATGATTGCTATTCTTTACAGGGTCCTGGTAAAATAAGAAGTACATGTTTGTCTACTCCCCAGAGAAAGGGTGAGGGTGGAAGGGCAGAGGGGAGCCGAGAGCCTCCAGCCTGCTCCTCCACTGCCCACAAAACAGCTGCTGCACGACACAGAGCGGCGGTATCAAGAAAAGAAAATTCAAGCCATGATTGACATGCGTAGTCTGAAGGTCGGTACCTGTGCTGTGGGTGGAAGTCTGCACATGTCTCATTGTGATTTACAACCTGTCATGCTGTGGTTTCAGTGTTTGCAGAGGCATTTCTCTGGATGGTATTCAGTGGTGTTGGACAGAAGGCTGCGGTTAGGGAAGGTCACGGCCCTCTGTGACTGGAAGCGGCAGCTGAGAGCCTGGCGGGCGTGGCGGGCCGTGCTGTGGGCAGGAAAACATCAGCGAGAGGTGACCAGAACAGAGGAGGATCTACGAGCTCAAAACAGGCAAGAAGTTCACAGAAATGTTGTTCCGCTCAAATCCTGCGTTTTACCACAGATGAAAACGAGGACGTATACACTGCTCATTTTACGGTATGTATCAGTATGTAGTGTCTCTACTTTAAAGAGTCCTCTCCTGCTGATGTTCAGGTGTATATCAGTATGTAGTGTCTCTACTTTAAAGAGTCCTCTCCTGCTGATGTTCAGCACAGAAAGATACAGGGAGATCGCTCTTCTGGAGTGAAGAGAGCTGAAATAATGATATTGCAAGTTAGAAACGTAAGATGCATTTTGACAGACAAGATGGACACTTGGGGGAAAATATGATGCATTTTGAATGTCCGATAGTCCACCATTAACACCTTAGTCCCGTCTCGTCTCGTCAACGAAAACTAAATATGCATTTTGTCAAAGTTTTCGTTATCAAGAATCTATTTTTAGCTCGTCATCGTCTCGTCTTAGTCATGTAAAAAAAAGGTTGTTGACGAATATTTTTCGTCATAGTTTTCGTTGACTAAATGAACACTGCTAAGTTAGCCTATCACGTACAATGTGTTGGAGCGCTGGCACAACACTCTGTCTATATAATGCACTACAGGAAAGTGAAAACCCCAAAAAGCATAATCGTTCTCTTTGAAACCCACATTAAAATGTATAACAGTATTTCTCATTGACCCTCACTGATCCCTGTTATGCTAACCAAGCACTAATTGATGGTTTCCTCCAGACAATGCCAGCAGGCTGTGGAGAGTGACCGCAGGCGGCTGCTTTGGAGATGTCTGAATGATTGGCAGCTCTGGTGTCGGATGGAGAAGGAAAAACGAGAGCTTTTGGCCCAGCAGCAGGAGACCCGGAGCAAGATGGCTGCTTTGATAAATGCTGCATCAACAGGCAAACTCAAGGCCAAAGAAAGCCCAACTTTTCAGCCAATCATGGAGCCACAAGCTGAACATAAACAACCGGGGATCACTGAGGAGGTGAGAAAATCACATTTGAGGTGATGCGAAAGGCTAAAATTACTGAGGCACTGGATTTGAATCTTGATCTGAAACTTTTTATCACTAATAGTGAACTTTTCCTGCTAAAATATTCACAACTCTGGAGAGCGAGGGCAGAGCGGTGTACATATAGGGGAAGGGAAGGCTAGAGAGAAATAAGAGGTGCAGAATAGTGGAACAGAGCTCCAGGGACGGAGGAAGCAGAACATAAGATTGAGCTGGAGCAGTTCATGGTCGAGGGGTCAATAAAGAGGCTATACGCGCCTCTCGGGCCCCGCAGCTTATATATATGAATTCCTGGAGTCAAGCCAATTTTGTGGTACTCTATTTGTGTTATTTATTTTGGGTTTTCAGACCTAAGGGAGGATTTTTTTCATAAACAATACCATCTTTATACCTGTTCTGGTTCCCCCTCTGTAGGACGGTCACCCCAGGTCAAAAACGTTGGCCCCAGACGTCTCTTCCATACATCGAAATCAGACGCCTGTGGGTGTTGTGGTCCAGCCAGCTCAGCCGTGGCAGGTGACCCGACGCCATGCAGCACCCTCGGCCTCAGAGCTCCACGGCAGCTTCTCCGGGTCAAAAAGCGCAGCGGCGTCGGGCAGCAGGTTCGAGAACAGACACGCCGTGCAGCAGCAGATCATCTCCCAGCAGAGGAGGCTTCTGAAGGAGCAGCAGGAGCAGATCTCACGGCTGAGGGACGAGCAGAGCGCGGCGGGGCTGGAGCTGGAGATGGAGAAAACTGCACAGCTCACACAGCTAGTAATGACAGCAGAATCCAGACCAAAGAGCAACCACTCTGAGCCCACAGAGCAGAGGTAGCCCCAGGGAGAAATGTGGAATTGAAGGGTTTTTTATTTAATGGCTTTTATTTGCCACATTCACCACTGCCTTATTGTTCAGTTGAAAGCCACCGTAGCAACTGAATAAGCCTAAACGTAAACTGTGACACCTTCCAAAAAATGTCCATGCTAAAGTTCCTTTTCATAATGTTTATCAGTCATAATTAAAAGGTAAAAAATAACAAGTTAGTGGTTAAAAATGTGAATAATTAATGGGTGTCGAAATGTCCTTTGGGACTTTTCTAGAAGGTCATGTTTTAAGTGGATTTCAGTAATGGCTTATAATTAATTCAACGTTAAATGAATTTGAACTGTTAAAATAAAGCCACTGGTTTCCACTTTTTGAATAAAAGGGAAAAACTCATAGAAAGTGGTACAAAGTCGATCCAGTTGGTATAAATCTAAAGTTGTGGTGAAACAAAATAAACAAGGTGCCAAAGAAAAGGATTCTTTGGCACCTTGTTTATTTTGCCATAAAAATAATTTATGACTCAGATTGTATGAACAAGCTCAATAATGTAATACTGAAACTGACATGAGTGTGGGAACGTGGAGGTGCATGTGAGGAACTATATGCTGTTTATATTCTCGGCCTGTCCATTAAATTCCCTCCCAGCTACCCCCAGGACACTCACACTAACTGCTCCCATACCTCCATGCCCCACATGAACTCGCTCTAAAACTGTCTTCAGATGATGAAAAATCACTTGCATTAGCTCCGTTCTCCTTCCACACTGCAGCCTAATGTTGGCAAGTCTCCCTGCACCTCGGGGGTGGAAAGGATATCATACAGAAACAATAAAGTAAAGTATAAAATGTCTGGTATAGTGATTGTTTCCAGGAGGTGGAATGGGGTTATCGGTTATATCTTTCCTTATTAAATGCAAGGTGTAGGTACAAAGAAAATACAGAATGCTTTTCCAGCTCAGAGAGGACGGAATATAATTGAAAATGCGTGGTTGCTGTAATTAGAAATGCGATTACAGAACACAACCTTGAACACTGTTTCCGTGAGTAAAGAGTTCTACCCTTCACGGAAATCCACTCACAGATTTATGAATGAATGTCGTTTCAGGTTGCCTAAAGCCGATACCTGTCTGAATACAATTTGCTTCAGGAATATGTGAATGTGCAGACAGCTGTGACAGGCCTTTGTTTCTGAGCTTCTGACTGTTACCTTTACAGGACACTGAGGACGGCTGAAGAACCCGCCAGCCTCTCCTCGAAGAAGGCCGTCAGCAGACAGCAGACTCGACCCTGTCAAATCATCACGGGTCAGTCCGCACATATATTCAAAAGTACATTATGTTATCCCAAACACAGAACGCCGTAGCTCTCCTGTGAGGGGAATTGCATGACCTTGTATCACGCATAAGGCGACGTCACATTTGCGTATAAAAGCTGTACAATTGAAGCACTTGGAGTTACGCGTTCAGAATGTGAAAATAATCATATACACTCCTGAGACTCTGTGCCACATAGGAATACCTTGTGCTTAACTGACCTCTCTCCCGCTCTTTGAAGCCATGGAGGAGCGTGCACGCCAACGCGAGGAGAGAAGGAAGGACATCGAGGAACTCAGGCGGAAAAAGGAGGATGACAAACTGGTAAAAGATTAATGAGCTGTTCACCAGACTGTTTTGTTTTGCGGGGTGAGTAGCGAGGAGGGATTGTCGGGAACGATATTAGGAAACAATAATTACATTTGACTTTGTTTCCAGGCTGAGATGAAAGCCGCCGAGCAACAGAGGCAGCGGGAGGAGGAGGAGGAGAAACGGCACGCAGCGGAGAGGAAGAGGGACGAGAGAAGACAGGAACGAGAGGTGAGGCTCACCATTTGTGGACGCAGTTGTGAGAACACAGGAAGTAGTAACACTGAGCGACATGTAGCGAAACATATCAATAATCTCACTGGACCCACTGTTGGGTTTAAACCATTAAAAGCATATAGTAGGCTAAACTAGAGCGGACATTTAAAGCCCTCAGCTTGCTCAAAGTCCAAGTGTCACTCTTTGGTTGCGATGGATGCTGTCAGGCCTCCCATTGGAGAAGATGTCCTATATATTAAAGTCTAGACAGCGTGTTTGAGAACGTGTGGAGGCCCTTCATTGATTACGTAACTCAGGGGTGTCAAACTCAAATACACAGTGGGCCAAAATAAAAAAATGGGTACTAGTCGAGGGCCGGACTGGTTCAATGTTTATTGCAGAACTTATTGAAATGAACTTATTGCACATATTAAACCTGGAACTAACAAAGCTTAATTTATTGCCTATAAAAACAACATTAAATAATCAGTTCATTCATTTCTTATGGCTCTATCTGCAGCTTTTCCAGAGTCATTTCTTATGATTACATTTTCCCACAGGCCAACAACAGCTTCAACAAAACTATTTCCCTCAAAGAACAAAACAAACATGCCCTGTTGTCGTGAGAGAGAAAGTGCAGAAGGAAACATCTCATCTTGGGTGCAAGGTCATCAATGTTTGGGCTCAGGCTCTGAGCTGAGGAGACCCTCAGGATGGAGTGAAGGTGTGCGTGCAATATACCGGCGGGCCAGATCTAATAGTAATTAGAAATTATCCTGCGGGCCGACATTAAATCCACCAAGGGCCTGATTTGGCCCCCGGGCCTTGAGTTTGACACAGGATCTAAATCTAGCTAATGTTCAAGAGGGTGCGTAGCTGCAGTGTCGGTGTCTTTTCTTTTATGCATAAGGTTTTCAAATGATTTCCTTGTATCATACAGAGGAAGCAAGTTTGTTTTAACTACTTCTATTTGTGTATGGCATACAAATCTAATGAATAAAGTCCCTTATTCCTGTGTGTCAGAGGGAAGAGGAGAAACAGAGGCAGCTGAAAAGGCAACAGGAGCTCCTCTCTATCGCCCGTCAACACTATCTCAAAAACCTGCTGCTGCGGCGAGGCCTGGCGCCATGGAAACGCTTCATTCAGCTCCAACGGGCCAACATAAAGGTGAAGCACCTGTGTTCAGCCGTCAGACACATTTGAGCCGCCTCAGGCTTCTGACTCAACATTTAAGAACCCGTGGAGCTGCTGGGTGACCCTGGCCTGACCTTTCATTTTTTAAATCCTATTTGAAAAAGAAAAACTGTGCAAAGAGCGCTTCAGGCTTTTCCATTATCACACCGGCTCCCGCAGAATTGCAATAAGCCAAAGGAGAAGTCCAGGTAGAATCTGGGTTTGAATAATAAAAAGGTTTAACGTTCACTTAAACACAATGTGACTGTGAAAGGCTCTTTATCATCTCAAGGCGAGTGGTGGACATAATGCGACATCATTTCCTCAAACTAAGAAGCTTGTTCAGTTATTTCATTATTTCTGAGTATTAAGACCAATATGTGTTGAATTGTAATGATTTAAAGAGGATTATATACGTGCATTTTTTATTGTCCTAACTATAAAAAAGGGTGTGCTTTTTTTATAAAGTATAAATAACATCTTAAAGATTGAATTATTTTGCTCTTCATCTATTTCTCCTTTTGTTCTTGATGTAGTTTATTATTCCTCTTGACTGTATTTTGTGTCCCAAACGTATAAAACGTACAAAAACCCCACATCACTTATAAACTGGGGCAGATAGAAAATCTCTAAATAAAAGTGTTGTTTCTTCTTCAAAATGACCGCCTCTCTGCACAGCATCAATACTCTCTGTGCATACACAGATACAAACCCTCCTGTTAAATCTGAGATGCATTCAAAGACATGTGATCCATTGTTTCCTCCTGGCCCATATGATTGAGTTTGGATGCCTTCATCAGCGTGCACCAACACTTTTCTTTTCAATTCCCGCCAGCTGGCCGACACTCATCACAATCTCTCCCTCCTGAGGCGGAGCACACTGTGCTGGCAGCAATCAGCAAAAGAGTCCTCGTCTCAGAAAGGAGCTCGCGCTGACCGACTGCAACGGCACTTTCTGCTTCGGAGGAGCTTAAGTCGCTGGAAAAGAGTGTGTATTTTTACACACACACACGCACACAGTTATTCAATCAGGATTGCAGCTTCCCCACCTTCTGCCGGTGATTTAGAGTATCACCTTTTCCTAATCTCCTCTTCCCGCTCAATCACTCAATCATGCTTTAAAGAGCCTGGGCTTTTAAAAAAATAATGGTTTTCTTGTTAAAGCTAGTGCCAACCTCATCACTTTAACTTACCGACAGTTGTTTTGCTGCTAACAAAGCAGAAAATGCCGCCTAGTGAGCGTGGTGTGTGTTTCAGCTGATGGACTGGAGGATGATCCAGGAGGAGAGAGCCGAGCGTTTCCACCGCGCTCGCACTCAGAGGAGGTTTCTGCTGGCGCTGCTGGACCATGTGACTCAGGAGAGGCTGCTGCAGCGGGACCGTCAGGAGCACAACGACAGGTCCGTGACTCTACCATATGTTCACTGTGTTCATGCTGCAGCGATAACCAGATAACAGCGTGTCAAATTAACAGCTTGATTAATGACGAGATGAAATGCATCGCTAAAGCAGTTTGGCTACAGTTGGCCAGAATAAACACAATGCCCAGTTATTTAACTCTAAAGAGGCCCTATTATACTTGTTGGGGTTTTCCCTTTCCTCTGGTGTGTTGTATAGGTTTTAGTGTGTGTAAATGGTCTGCAAAGGCTTCACTGTCACTCCCACACACTCCCCCCCATCAGTGGTGGACTGTAGACTGACTAAAAATCAGCCCGGGACTCTCGACCGGCCCACTTCGGTACCGCTAGTAAATTGTCAACGGGGGGAGGGGGGGGGTACTAGTGACTTATCCGACCGGCCCACATCGTCTGACCGGCACACTTCAGTACCGGCCCGATGCCCATGCCTGAAACGCGTCCATTGTACACCTTTGTTTACTTCCAATACATAGTGACATCACTATGTCACACTTGCGCTTCTATTGACCAATTACAACAGAGACAGTCGGCTAACCAATCAGAGCAGACTGGCAGTATGAGAAAGAGCTTTTTGAACATTAAAGCATGGAGACATGTCCCAGTAGAGACACTGATATGAACCTAACGATTTGTATAATGAGGCCCCTTTAACAACATTTACCAGCATTAAACAGTGTAAGACATTTTGCAGTGCATTGTCTTCAACCTGCACCTCCTTTGCATTTTATTAGAACTATAAAATCAGTGCCTAAAATCTGCTGTTAGCTGGAAGTGTTCATATTTTGATTAATGGAGTCAGTTTGGGGGTTTGGCTGCCGTGGTAGAAAGTTCAATACGGCTGAACTAGCAGGAAAAGCGTGGGGTTTAAAGCTTGCTTAGTCAGGGTAATTCATGAAAACTATTTTCCGTAATAACTTTGTCTCCAACAACTCATTGTGAAGACATTTCACCTTAAAACCATAGAGTGCTAAAAGAAAAGTGAGCGAATCATCAAAGTTATTAGGGTTCATTGTCTTGGAACCGTAAATGTCAATTTTGCCATCTATCTTGTCGGGGTAGAGATATTCTCTGGATAAACGGGGGCTTTGTCTTGCTGATGGCGCATGAGGAAGGTCTGGGATCACTAAAGATGGCTCCTCTGGGCACTGTGGATACTAATGTGCTGGCGAACCACCCAATACTACATATTTCAGAGTGAGCAAAGTGATGCACCGACACAGAAGCAGTGCAACGCTAAAAAGTCTGTTTTGTGGCTTTTTCCATTTCCATTTAAATAGATTTAATCCTTTAAATAATACATTTGAATCAGCGAACACATTCAGGTTGTGAATACGCCTCATATGAGCATTATTCTGTGTCCCATTGTGGACCAAATGAAGGATGTCTGTAGCACTGCTCGAACTCGATTGAATTCTCCCTCATTGACACAGAATGTGTTTATAGACTTCTCAAGTGTGGTCCGATAAATGAGAACGGCCTGCAGGTAATTTCCCACCGGCTGCCATTCACAATAAGCTGTGACATTCAGTGACAACTCATTACGTGTTGTGATCCCACAGGTCGCTACGATTCAGTTTCTCATTGCTCACTTGTTTCCCCGTCTGTTCTTTCATCTGCCTGCCTCTCCAGACGGGTTCTGCGGAGATGTTTGCAGGCCTGGAGGCAGCTTCCCTGTCTGCAGCGCAGGGAGAGGCTGAGGGAGGAGAGGCGGGAGAAGCTGGGACGAAGAGTGGCTGCCATCTTGCCCGACTTCTGCTCACATCCACCGTGAAGCCTCCGGGAGAAACACACGCTAAGAAGATCCATTCACACATCCTCAAAGCCCTGGAGCGGAAACACAGTCTGCACCGTCCTCACGTTCATTTAATACAAATCAAATGTAGCTGGACCCATAGGACTTTTGGAGGAAACGGCTCTTATAAAAGCAGCGATAGTGGAAACTTCTCAAGGTGACATTCATGTGCTTTATTCACTTTTTTCATATTCCCAGAGCTGTTCCATTCAGGAGGTTGAACCAGCTTGATATAAAAAGTAGCTGCTCATATATTTATAACTAACCGATCAATCATTGTGATTAATGCAAGCTGTAAAACTTTAATCAGCCTGATGAGCTGCTGAGATGTTTAATTCATCCGCGACAAATGTCCAAGTCCGAGTGAGGCTGATAAATGTTTTTGTGAAGAGTTCCTGGAGGAAAAGAACGTCCAGTCTGTTTTTGTGCGGGACTCGTCGTCATTGTGCTGCTGCCGAGAAAACGCCTCCACGAGAAGCAGGACACATTACTCAGTCTCGTTTTTGTCCGTCTCCCAGCAAGGAACTAGAGTGTAGAGGAGACATAGAGACAATATTGAAGTCCTGGGATGACAGGCGGTGTGCAGGAATGCTTTTTATCTTATTTGGCAGAGAGGCGGATGACAGGTGTAAAGGTCAAACAGCTGCATGGAGGAGATACCAGCTGTGAGTGACACGACGGGAAGAGAATGTATGCTTTGTTGAAATGCGATAACTGCAGTGAGAAGATATCAGAAGTGAAAGAAGCCATGCTGCCATCCAGTGGGCGTGAACAAGAACTTCAAATCAGCGTCTCTTACACCAGGTCTGTGGGGAGGGGGGTTGGGGGTTTCAGTTTTTCTCCCATGCTCATGAACTCAGCCCAGTTTTCACGGAAACCTCGAGAGTAGACCCCGGTGTCCACGACGAGCCCCCAGTAGGAGCTGCGAGCGGTCTTCTCCCTCAGGGCCAGGCGGGCCTCGCGCTCCGTCACGTTGAAGCTGATGTTGGTGATCTGCACCAGCAGCAGGTGGAGCAGCCCGCAGGACACTATGCTGCTGTACCACGCACAGGTGAAGCACAGCGCAGCGCTGGAACACAGACAAGAGACCAGAGGGTCAATACATATGGGTCAGTGCTCATGGTGTGCAGAGGACAATATGTAATATGACTTTACATTGAATTTAGCTGACACTTTTATCCAGAGCAACTTTCAAAAAGTGCATTCAACTCAAAAGCATGAATCCTGCAGGTACATTTCCTATCTATAAACCCAACCAGTTTAAGTGCTACTGCATTAGCTTAAGTGCTGCCGACAGAAGATTATTATTTCCTTCTTTTTAGCAAAGATGCAGTCGAAACAGGTGAGTCTTCAGACTACTTCCTTTATTAAGACCTTAACATATATAGTTTCTACATTTGAAAATATAGGATATACTGATTTACATTCAAAGCTTCTTTTGAGGTTTTAAATAAAGTTTTGAGTCGTACTTATACTAATCATACTAAAAGATAATAAAGCTGCACTTAATTTTGTATACGCAATGAAATGTAATATCATTTTGTGTGATTGTGGTAGTATACATTTTATTTATGGTGCTGTTAAATTGTTGCACACCCCTTTAAAGTGTCTCTTTT